TCTTTCAGAGAAATTCTGTACTGTGTCTAGACTTCATATGGGATGCATATGGTGCAGGAGGTGTTTTGGAATAATACAGCCACATCTGCACTTACAGAACAAAACCAAGAAAACTCAGCCCAAATTTTAAAGGCATGTTATAATCCTGAATCTGTGGAAAAAAACTGCAAAGGCAAGATATTGATATCCATGCTATGGAACTTGGTATATATTCTCCCTGTAACTATTTGATTTGGATGGTTTATAACAAAAAAATGCTGCCATTTCTGAGATGAGATTGGGTTTCTATGCTGGCTATTCAGTTTGTTTCCACTCCATGCAAATTCAGTCTTCTGTCAGACTCCTGAAAGAGTAACATAAATAAAAAATGTAGGAAATCAAATTTTCTTCCTGAAACCTATACAACTACTGTAGCATAAAAGGGGGTTAACATTTCTGTATGATTTTAAATCAATTTAATGGGTACTTCCAGACTGGATCATCTGTAAATGTTTGTTTTAAATGCCATTTTAGCAAGCTAAATTATAAGTAATCTCCCTCTCTGTGCACGATGAACACACGCTGTTCTGTTCAGACAGTTTGAAAGTGGGAAGAGAAACCCTTTCTCTGCCAACTTCAGTCCTTTTGAGAATTTATTTTTCATGCTGTGTGGGTCTGCAGATCTGAAGAAGAACTCTAGCTCCAATAGTAATGCTGAATAAGACTGTCATCCGGTATTTCAGATCCAGTTTTAGAAACTAAGCAGCTAACACTAATTGGATTAGCTGCTAGCCCACTGGCACACTCAGTGCTTGTGACACTGGCCCATCTAATGAGCCCATGGCACTATGAAGTTAAAGAAATTACATGGAGCTTAAAGCTGGCAGCTGGCCTGTCTCCCTTTTCTAACTAGAGGTTGTTATTTCTCTCAGGAGGCACAAGACATGCAATTTTCATATTGTTGTGCCTGAGACCTGGACTTGTAAGAGTGTAATCCTACTCAGCAATATGCAGCCACTTGCTTTCTGCATGCAATACGTCTTCTAAGAGGCATTTATGGATATTCCTTTTCCTTCTGTCTTTGAATAACAACAAGAGAGGGGCCAGCCTTCAAAACCTCCTTTTCTCTCCTCTGGAGTTATTTTTAGGAATAAGAAAAATTAGTGAAATCTCACTGAATGGAACAGATGACAACAGGATGTAAATTGGTCACATCTTAACAGACATTAAGTCTCCCTGATTATATAAACAGATTGGTTATCTACTGATGCTCTTAATGGGGAATTTAAAAGACAAATTACTATTTGCATGTGAGAAAACACATTACAGGCTTTTAAATACTCCTTGATAATGGCTTTCTGATTTTGATGTAATTTCTTACCCTGGATAGGTGAGATAACAGAAAAATCCTTCAATAGGATCCATTTTGCAAGTTCAATCAAACCTACTAGACCCACACCACCTAAAATAATAGATGATAGTGAAGGGAAGTTTGAGGACAGGCTGTAGGTTGAAAATTATCCATTCAAACAATTCTGCAAGTACACAGGTTTGCAAAGAGTTTGTAAGCAGAACTATTCAGTAAAAAGCTCACCAGACAAGGTACTTGCAGTGAATTCTTTGGCTACTGCTATTTGAAAGGGATCCATTTAGATTCACCATGTAGCCTAAATTTCTCAGCCCGTCAGCCAGTTATCTCAGTCCTAAATCCCCCAGATGGCAGTCTGACCTCATCCTTAGAGATGCCAAATTTGCTTTGCTGACATTCAGGTTTTTGCTCATTAAGGATCATGATGAGCAGGCTTCCCTTCTGCTTTTATATATCTCCTGATCCTTTCCGCAGTATTTCTCTCAGATCCATGACATCAAAGCCGTGCTATAATGAATAAAGATATTGAAAAGATGAAAACTTCAAATACAGGAAAGGAATATTTTTTCTTGATGATAGCACATTAGAAATAGCACATTAGATAGCACGTTGTAACGATATAGCATCTATAGATATGTCAGCTGCATTCTTAACAACACCAAAACCAAAAGAGAGATCTGTAACTTAATCACCACTCTAGAGAGTTCAGGCTTATGTGCAGGAAACCCACATATGTAATATTCTACTGATAAAAGCAATTAGTTTTTTTAAAAATATAGTTCAGAGATATGAATAATGTAGTAAATCTATCTTACGGGTCTCCATCACTGATTAAGCCTGTGAGCTTTAACTATGTTATTTTAAAGGGGCTTGGATAAAACCCAGAGTCATATCTGCAAGTTGTCTGAACATACATTTGTGAACGAAGATATTGTAACATTTATTACTGACTTTTAAGAGCAGGGGCTATAAGGAACAAAGGATGGACTGATCACCTCTGCAAGTAAAGCTGCATTGCTGAAAAGCAATTGCCTTCCTTACTTCTGTCTGCTTTTGTTTTCAGTATTCTGAACAGCAGAAAACTATATTAAGCTTGTTCAGAATCACTCACAGGTTCATTTCAACAGTCTTTGGCCTGTAAATTTACCAGTTTGAATAGTCAGTACTTGAATTCTCATTCATATTGGTCTGTCACAACTAGAACAAAAAGTGAGTTGGATACACATATGCTCCATGACGGGGGAGTGTTCCTGGTAGAATCACAGTCATAGCAGAGATATTTCTTCTGGCAATGTTTGTCAGTATTTGTATGCTCTTTTTCTAGGACTCTTCTAGCCCATGAGACTATTTGCTGAAATATTCATGAACAAGGAACATAGATGGTGTATGGGAACTGCTGAATCATGGCCTGAACCTCTGATTGATCACTTGAGGCGAGGAATAAGTCAGCCATGGGAGGGGGTGAAGCCTGGCTGCACCTCTCCTAGACCCATTTCACAGAATTACAAAATGGCCAGGGTTGGAAGGGACCTCAAGGATCATGAATCTCCAACCCCCCTACCACATGCAGGGCCAACAACCTCCCCATTTAATGCTAGACCAGGCTGCTCAGGGTCCCATCCAATCTGACCTTGAACACTTCCAGGGATGGGGCATCCACAACCTCTCTGGGCAGCCTGTTCCAGTACCTCACCACTCTCTCTGTAAAGAATTTCCCCCTGACGTCCAACCTAAATCTCCCCTCCCTCAACTTAAAACGATTTCCCCTCGTCCTGCAGTTATCTACCCTTTCAAAGAGTTGATTCCCCTCCTGTTTGTAGGCTCCCTTTAGGTATTGAAATGCTGCAATGAGGTCACTCCGCAGCCTTCTTTTCTCCAGGCTGAACAAGCCCAGCTCCCTCAGCCTGTCTTTGCAGGGGAGGTGCTCCAGTCCCCTGATCATCTTTGTGGCCCTCCTCTGGAACCCCTCTCCAACAGCTCCCTGTCTTTTTTGTATTGGGGGCTTCACACTTGGACGCCATATTCCAGATGGGGCCTCACAAGAGCAGAGTAGAGAGGAACAATCACCTCTCTGTCCCTGCTGGCCACTGCTCTTTTGATGGAGCCCAGGATACCATTTGCCTTCCAAGCCGCAAGGGCACACTGCTGGCTCATATTAAGTTTTTCATCTATCAAGACCCCCAGGTCCTTCTACAGAGGTCTGCTCTCGAGGACCGCTCCTTCCAGTCTGTATGGATGCCTGGGATTCCTCCGGCCTAAGTGCAAAACTCTGCACTTTGCCGTGTTGAACCTCATCCGGTTCACCTGGGCCCACCTTTCTAGCCTCTCGAGGTCCCTCTGAATGGCATCCCTTCCTTCAACCGTGTCGACCACACCACTCAGCTTCATGTTGTCAGTAAACTTGGTGAGGGTGCACTTGATTCCGTCATCGATGTCATTGATAAAGATGTTAAAGAGCACCAGTCCCAAGACAGATCTCTGGGGGACACCACTCATTACCGGCTTCCACCTGGACATAGAGCCATTGATGACCACCCTCTGTCTGTGGCCTTTCAACCAGTTTCTTATCCATCGAGTGGTCCACCCATCAAATCCACATCCTTCCAATTTGGAGGTAAGGATGTGGTGGGGGTCTATGTCAAAGGCCTTGCTCAAGTCCAGGTAAATGACATCGGTCGCCTTTCCTTGTCCACCGATGCCGTCACTCCATCATAAAAGGCCACCAGATTGGTCAAGCATGACCTTCCTCTGGTGAAGCCGTGCTGGCTGTCACGGATCACACACCCTTTCCTCATGTGATCAAGCATGTCATCCAGGATGATCTGTACCATGATCTTCCCAGGCACAGAGGTGAGACTCACTGGCCTGTAGTTCCTGGGGTCCTTGTTCCCTTTCTTGTAAATGGGAGTGACGTGACCCTTCCTCCAGTCATCTAGAACCACACCTGACAGCCACGACTTTTCAAATATGATAGAGAGTGGCTTGGCAACCACCTCAGCCAGCTCCTTCAGAACCCTGGGATGCACACCATCCGGCCCCATAGACTTGTACACGTTCAGTCCCATGATGCGGTCTCAGACCTGCTCTGTCCTCACAGCAGGGGGGATTTACCTCCCCAGTCCCCACCCAGAGGTTTAGGGATGCAGGGCTCACGGATGTGAGAATTACTGGAATCCTGGCCGCCAGTGAAGACCGAGGAAAAGAACTCATTCAGTACCTCAGCCTTCTCTTCGTCTGTTGAAGCCAGTCCTCCTTTTACATTTACCAAAGGAGGTACACTCGCTTTGGCCTGTCTCTTCTGGCCACTGTACCTGTAGAAAGTCTTCCTATTGTTTTTCACGTCCCTCACCAAGTTCAATTCTGCCTGCACCTTGACTTTCCTGATCCCACATCTGCAAGTCCGGACGGCATCCCTGTATTCTTCCCAGGTGACACGCCCTTGTTTCCAGAGCTTGTACACACCATCTCTTCTGGAGATCCCTTCTCTGGAGTTTTGCAGCGAGCCCAGGACACAGGTAAGCATTCTATCTATTCTCTTTTTGTTATTATAACCTACTTTGTCTCTCTTGTTTATTTCATAATTATAACATCTTTATATTCATTGATTATACAGATGGAATAAATATGCTTGCAGTGAATTAATAACAAAACATGAATATGCTCAGGAAAAGTTGTATATTTTTCACTTGGCTCTTGTCTCTCTAGATGAACTATGCAAGATACCAAGCCTAATAGCTGATAGTGCTTTTCCATGAAACACTAAAATCTGGATTCTGAGATTGCAGAACTCAGGCAATACAAAAGGATGAAATCTGGCCATTCTCAACACAAAATGCCCTTATTGGAAGAAAAATTCTTTACCATCTATGGTGAGTCTCCAGTCCCTGATGTCATACAAGCCACAGTGGCTCAAGGAGGCAGCAGAAGAAACAATTCCCCAGGAGGACAGAAAACTGAACTTTTACATCCTGTCAGTTTTCTTCCAGTGTCTCCTATTCCAGGTGGCTGTGAGTCTAATTTAGCAGGGGCCAGTGAGAGGGTGAGATGAAAAGTTCTGTGGCATCACTTTTTGTTTTTTTTTTCCTTCACTCCTTCTGCTCTTCAGCTGTATCCTGTCTTCATCAGAACTAATTTAGTTAATTCTCCATTCTAGAATGAGCCAGTTGTTGTTGGTGCACAGTTGCATAGCAACATCTACCATTTGCAGGCAGAGATAACAGGCAGGCAGGGATGCCAGTGTGTGCCTGGCCCAGGAAGGTGAGGAACAAAAGGAGCAAAGCAGACTGCCACCCCACAGGGCTTTGCAGCTGTGCTTTATACTGCTACAAACTGGCAGATGTATCAGAAGGGCAGGGCTTGATTTCATTTCTAGAACTGGCTTTTGGAATAACACATACCATCTCAGTGCAGGACACAACCTTCCTATCTCAGGGCTGCCTTCAAAAAATACAAAGGAAATTGTGGGATGAGAACTTCAGGGCTTTTCACCATCCCCTTGTGAGTAGTTTTGTGTGGGAATGTACTTTGGCTCTCTGTGGAAATGTTTAAACCACATCTTTATGCACAAAAATCAAGAAACACAAAAGTTAAGAGTCAGAATGGGCAGCACTAATCACATTTGATGATTCCTGAAGATCCACATGATCTTAAAAATCTTGTTACTTCAAAAGAAAAATCTGGAAATATATATTTAGAATTCAGATTGTCTACAATTATTTTATCTTTCTTAATAGAAGGTCAGGATGGCAAACACATTTCTCCATAAAGATTTGTGAATAAAATTCCTAGTACAGTCAGAAGCACAATTGTCTTTGTGCCTTCTTCGCAACTCTAAATTGCAAAGGATGATTTTGGGGCAGGGGACAAACAGAATTTTATTAAATCTTACAGGCTCTTGTAGAGAAATCTCAGCTGGACGTGTTACAGTGGCCTGCCTAAGTATGCAGAGTGGCAGACTTAACCAAGCCCAGAACACCTGACAAGACATGCTGCCCAGCCCGCTCATCTTCCCCCCTCTCCTGCTTGTGCTGTGAGTTGGAACATCTGGTCTGGTGACTTAAATGGAAGTCATTGCTTTGGTATGTTGTTTTCCCTTCAAAAACTCAGGCCTCGATTGCACTGTATGCAAGAAATTGAACTTATAGGATGAGAGAAATATCAGCAGCATATGTAGTACTCTAAGGCATCTTTCTATCACCTGCTAGTCAGAAGCAGCATTTACTAAATTTGACACTCTTCTGTGACAGCACTATCAAAGCTTCATGCTCTTAGCTCTGTCCCAGTTGTGCCTTGTGGGAACTCTGAATAGAGAACTCAAGGCCCTATCCACTGGATAGAGAGAAAGGCCAAGTACAGATATCCCAAGACATATGGTTTTTTGATGCAGAACATTTTCTGGGCTGTATTTTTAGAGGATATATACCAAATAGACACCTAAATTTATATAAAGATTTAATTGTGCAAGTAGATGATCAGGGGTGACAGTGTACACATTATATGAAAGCTTTGGGAACTGCAGGTGTTTGGAGGATGCAGGAGAGACATCTCTTAGTCAGGCATGTAAGGATGCACAACTGCACTTAGTTTTGATTAAGCAGCAGGGAAAGATTTGGCACAAGCACGAATGTTTGACTGTTCATATTCTCTTTGCAGTTTATTGAATGCTGATTAATTCTTATTTCCTCTCCATGAGATCTAACTGCAGTACTAGGAAGCCATATATGCATGTATTTGAGAAGGTAATTGCATGTATCAAGCTGACACGACAATATACGTGGATCTATTAAATAAATTGTTGGTTTCATTTTCACCTATTATCAAAAACCAAATCCAAGACTCTGCATATGGTAATATAATCACATTTATTTACGCTAAGCAGCCTGCTTGAATGACAAATGGAGATCATCACAGATGATGAAGAAAGCAGAGTTTTACTCACAGAACCCCATGGATCTCTGGACTGATCCTAAGAAATCACTTAATTTTTCATTATCTTCAATTTCCTATGTGAAAAACCCTCCTAACTGTGCGTTTTTTTTGTAAAATGCATTAAGGTATCTAAATGATAGGAACTATGTAAAGTATTGTTGTTACTGTAAATGTTTTGATAATTTTGGTTACTGATTGAGCATTTGTCTGAATGGCTTCAAGAGCTGATTTGTATTTGTGACAGAGTTTTTTCAACATTTTTAAATGGATTCTCATATAATTATAATGAATATTTTAAAATTAATAAGTATTGAAAAAGACACAACAAACACACAAATGATAATTCAGTAGCCAGAGTGATAATGTGAGTTCATCAGTGCTCAATCCCGTCTTCAAATATTAATTCATTTGCTGAATTATTCATTTCCTTATTTTATGAATTAATCAGTATCTTGGCAGTTTTGTAACTTGACATCTTTGTGTACAGCAAACCAGGCAGGGATATGACAGCATCTTACACTGTTCACTAGTCTCTAAAGGAGGAAATTTCCATAAGGTGACAAAAGTGTCACTGGAGAATGAGAAACCATACTCTTAATTTAATTGCTTGTGTGCTCTTCACTTATTCACTTGACATTACTAGCGACTTTGCATATGCTACACCTAAAATATCATTAAATGCCCTTTTCCCATAGACTTGAGATGTTTAATTAGTGTTTTCAAAGTCATTTGTCCCTGTTGCTTTCAACCTTTCCCACACTGTGACCTTATTTGCCAATATATTCCCTTCCCATTGGCACACAGCATGTAATTTTATGCCCGCTCAGGAGAAACGCAGGATTCAGACATTCTGCCTTTAATAGGCAACAAGATTATTCAGCTGCTTGAATTCAAGTCTAACTTGCACATTCCCTGAGGAGCCACCAATTTTAAACACAGAAACAAAACGTGCATGCTATTGCTAAGGGCAAAGCTGTGATTAGGCACTGATTGATTACTGCAACAAAATAAAACTGAAGACACCAGAACTTGTCAGGACAGGTTAAATATGGTTTACGTGAAAATCCGACCAGAGATTATCTAGAGGTTATAATCTGAGGCAATTCCAGTTTAGAATGAAACCTCTCTTTGTAAAAACGTGCTCAGTCCTAGGTGGTCTTTAAAGACCACCCAAAACACCCAGATCAAAACTCAAACCTCCTATACTTTCAGAAGGGCTTGTCTACTTGCACCAGCACTTCCACTCGTTTTTCCGCCTGGTAAAGTAGCTACTGCGTAAAAATAAATGTAAAGGGCTGCTGTTGAGGGCAGTTTCTCTCAGGTGTGAAAAAAGCCATTCCTTGGTGTTCCTCTCACACATGCTTTCCTTTGCGTCTGGATTTTGTGTTGAGGGACGTGGTCTGGTGAGTACTATTGGTGATAGGTGGGTGGTTGGATTGGATGACCTTGTAGGCCTTTTTCAACCTCGGTCATTCTGTGATTCCTTCTCCTTGCCCAAGGGAAACACTGGTGAGGCTGTGAGGCAGCTGTCAGCGCTATCCTGGTGTTACCTAGTCACCCTCATCGCTGCCAAGAGGATGCTCAGTGTCCAGAGATGGAACAGAAATTGGTGGGTGTTACATCCAACCAAGAGCCACTGTGCAAGAATTCAGATTATGAGATCGAGTCAGCGCCTCAATGCGCCTCTCTTCAGACACAGGGCGGCTGAGAAGCCGGTTCTTCCTCTCAACCAAGTACTCAGGCACCTCTCGCGTGCCAATTACTGCATAACGACTTGGCCCCGAGGTGAAAACCCCGCCTGGAGGCTGAGTGCCCTCAGCACCACGCAGCGGGAGAGAAGCAGCCATCCCCTCACAGCGGCGCCCGAGCCACCCCTCCAACGGCTGCCGGCGTCACGTGACGGCCGTCGCGAGGAAGGGGGGGAGAGGGGGGCGCGCGCTCGGCTCCGCGCATGCGCCCTGCGCGGGACGGCGCGGCTCCAGCTGCGAGGGAAGGCGGCGACCGCTTCCGGGTCGGGCGGCGCGGCGGCACCATGTCGTGCGCCCTCGTCCCTTTCGGCCGCTTCCAGGATCTGGAGGCGGCCCGCGACTTCCTGTGCCCGCACCGCCGCCAGGGCAGCGCCGCGGCCGGCAGAGAGAGCGGTGAGTCCGGCTCGCTGCTGGAAGGGGACCCGGGGTTCGGTCCCGCGTGTGGGGCTCGGCGGGGCGGCAGCCCGGCTGTGCTGAGGACACAGCCCGCCGAGGAAGGTGCCGGCTGGGCGTGCCACGTCTGCAGGCTCTGCTGCTGGGCGCTGCTGCTGCCCGTCCGATCTCCCGTACTCGTCTTCGTCCGTGGGCTGTGAGCGAAGCTCCTCAGGCACCGCGCGTCTCCGGCTTCGCGGTGGAAGTTTGCGGTGTCCTACTTCAAGGAGTGCAGCTCTCGGAGGGTTCTCTTAAAGTGCGCATGTCTGAGATCGCAAGACGCGCTGTGAGTGTGCTAAGAGTTAGTTTGGTGGCTCCAAGGAGAACTAAAGAAGCCACGCAGCAACTAGTCAGGAGGCCAGGTTTGTGTAGCACGGGGCAATCCAAATCATAGAATGGTTAGGGTTGGAAGAGATCACCCGTCCCCATCCCCAGCTTTTGGCAGGGCTGTCTCCCCAACTCAGGCTGCTCTCATCCAGCCTGGCCTGGAGCACCTCCAGGGATGGGGCACCACAGCTGTATGGGCAATACTGGGGCCTCACTGCCCTCTGAGTGAAAAATGACTCCCTGAAATCTAGTCTGAAAAAGCCGAGCTCGCTGTGTTCCCACAGAATGACCGCAGACCCAAACCCAGAGCTCACAGCACAGAGACAGGGGTGTGAGATGGCATTAACTGTGTTGCTGTGAGTTGCTGCGTGGCTGCTTTTGTTCTTATTTGAGCCACCTTTAGCACAATCTTTGGGCTTTCTGGCAATAAGCGTGGAAGGAATGCATTTGAAGAAGGTGATCAGGATCCTTCTCAGATTCTCTCATTATGAACTGAGCTATGAGGGAATGCTGAGATGCTTATTTAAAAAATCTAAAAGGTTTTGTAGGGGATTAGAAGGGGCAAGACAGCACAGAGGTTGTGAAAACTTAAAAATACACTGTAACTAATTTACTGCTGAATCTTGTTGGCTTCTTTTTGTGTTTATGGTTGAATTTAATACACTTAATTGTCGAAGTGCAGTTGGAAAGAAGTAATTTAGGAAGAATTTTATGTAGCTCATCTCGATTGTTGTGCATTTCAAACTCCTAATAGAAAGCAGTAATGTTCTGCAACCATGCTTCTCATTTTAATCCTATGGTACTCCAAAAAATGCACACAGATTCTGCATGGCTCTTCTCTTAGTGTCAGTGGTATCTAAAGGAAGGATTCTGGAACTGCTAGCATCCTATTAAGTGCCTGTTGGATACTGAAGGTAAAAGCTGAGGATTGTAATGTGTTTGTGTTTCTAAAGGTGCATGTTGAAAGAAATTCAAGTATTTCTCTGTCATTCGATAGTACATGCAAGACTAATGAGAGTAAAGGAACTTCAGTGTGCCCTTGCGGCTCGGAAGCCAAATGGTATCCTGGGCTCCATCAAAAAAAGCAGTGGCCAGCAGGGACAGGGAGGTGATTGTTCCTCTCTACTCTGCTCTTGTGAGGCCCCATCTGGAATACGGCGTCCAAGTGTGAAGCCCCCAATACAAAAAAGACAGGGAGCTGTTGGAGAGGGGTTCCAGAGGAGGGCCACAAAGATGATCAGGGGACTGGAGCACCTCCACTGCCTGGTCTAGTATTAACTGGTCTAGTATTAAATGGGGAGGTTGTTGGCCCTGCATGTAGCAGGGGGGTTGGAGATTCATGATCCTTGAGGTCCCTTCCAACCCTGGCCATTCTGTGATTCTGGATGCTTCTGTTGGTGTGGATTTTTCAAATGGCAGTTGTAAAGAGAGGAGGCATTTTGTCTGTTGTAGAAGCATGAAAAAATGATAACAGCATTGAGATTGCATTTCTGGAATGTGCTGTTCATCCTCTTTAACGAGTAGGCTCTATTTGGGGCTATTTTTGTATTTGCTTATTTAGTCATCAAGGCTGAATATCAAAACTGAGTGTTTCTCAGAGTACCATTCATTTAGACTTATTCACATCTTTT